AGGTCAGTCCAAATGTGCTTAAGATTAGTCCAAATGTGGTTCGGGTCTGGTCATACACACACATGTGTGTGTGTATCAGGGTTCATGTGAGAGTACCTCACTCTGTAAAAAGTGTTACACATTCACAACCTTCATCTTGAGAAATCAAAAGGTTAGGATCTTATCATTACTAAATTTTTAAGTTTGCAATAATTATAAAATGAATACCGTTCTTAAAAGTTTTTAATAATTTTAAAATTGATCCCGTATTTTTTTTTTACTAAAACTCTCAATTATTGATGAACCTTGATGGACGACTAAGATCAGACTTCACTTTTTACAAGAGGTCCATGTTCTCATTTGATATGTCCATATATATAACAATTATAATTAGACATTCTTTTTCTTAGAAAATTTCAAAATATTTTAATATCCTCAACATATCATACGTAATTATTTCATTGTGACACAACAACAACATCATCATCATCATTATTATTATTATTATTATTATTATTATTATTATTATTATTATTATTATTGTTGTTGTTGTTGTTGTTGTTGTTGTTGTTATTATTATTATGCAAGCTTTTCAATAATTATGATTTAATTATAGTCAAAAGTGTAAAGATATTGTTTTATTGAATGAGAAGTTTTTATTAAGATTTGATTTTTAAGTAATATGCAGAATTCAATTCTTACTATTAATGAAGTTTAAGTTTAGATTAAACCCATTGTACACAAAAGTGTACAATTTAATAGTGAATCGCGTAGTTAGATAATTTAGATTAACTCAAAATATCTCGTCCCGCATTTGAAGTAGCTGGAAAATCTAGCTAGGTTATCAAAAAAAATTTATAGTAAGAAAAAAGTAATAGACGACACGTTGCGAGCCAAATCACACGATTCTCTAGTAGTCGAAGCTTCCTCAATGATGACAATGAACAACCTTGTAGGTCTTGCACGTGCAGTATAGTTTTAGTCTTGAATTCGAATACAATCACAATTAATTTTGATTACTACTGATTATGTTGCCATGTAGTATCTGTTCATAACTATTTTATTAATCTAATGAAGTATAAGGAGTTAATACGCTCTTACTGAAACTCAAACTCACAACTTCCTATATAGAAGAACAATTTGGTACCACAAAGACCACAAGATCCTTGGTATAAAGATTAATATATAAGATTTAAAGTATTGATTATATATGCAATTTTATTATATTATTATTTTATTTTATTCAAATTTTCTATTCAATTTTTGCTATAAGTGTACTACATTTATGTTATTAAGTATTATATATAAGCCTTAAAATTAAATATTGATTATATTTACAATTTTGTATGACTCATTTTTTATTAAATTTGACCCATCTTACCGATTAAGACTCCTGAGATGGTCACACAGGAAACTAGCCAATTAAATTATATAAGTGTTCGATAATAGAAATTTGAATGGTCAAATTTAATATCTTGTCATCAAAATGTGACTTGCTATTCTTTTTTTTTTTATATATATAAGTGTTCGATAATAGAAATTTGAATGGTCAAATTTAATATCTTGTCATCAAAATGTGACTTGCTATTCTTTTTTTTTTTTTTTTAATGTTACTGGCTCTATTACAATGTAGTATCTGTTGTTCATATAGTTTCTCAACCTACTGAAACACAAAGAACCAATAACGATTAGAAATTTGAAAGGTCAAATTTAATATCTTGTCATCAAAATGTGACTTGCTATTCTTTTTCTTTTTTTTTTTAAATATTACTGGCTCTATTACAATTCTGTTGTTCATATACTTTCTCAACCTACTAAAACACAAAGAACCAATAACACCTTCACATAGGCTCGAACTCATAATCTTCCAAATAGAAATCCAATTCAGGTACCATTAGACCACACAGTCCTGGTTGTGACTTGCTATTCAATTATAAAAAATTATAATTGTTTCGTTAGTTGCTAGTGACTATAACTTTTGATACCATCCTCGATCATTAGTATGAAAAGTGAGATTTGCTCTGAAATTTAAAAAGGTTGTTCAATTGTCGCGGATTTATAGAACTACATGAATAAGGTACACTATTTAAAGGATGTATTTGCCTTAATTTCGATTACTACAATATAATTAAAGCAACATAACTTTCAATTATTCTAAAAAAAAAAAATTGTGTTGAAAAGTACTAGTATTTTTGTCCGTGTGATCCACTGAATAGATTTGTTGTAATATATTATGAATATTTGGATTGATATATAATTATTTAAATTAGAACATCAAATATTATATAATGAAATTGAATATATAGTTTGGATCGTTTATGTGTTTTAATTTTATGTTATCAATGCTTGAATTTGAGCAAATAATTGCTCAAATTAATAATTAATTTGTAGATATACGCATGCGGTGCTATAACTTTGGAGATTTTATTTATCATTGTTCAGTATTTTTATAAATTAGGCAAATGTGCTCGTTCTCTAGCAACTCAGCTATAAGAATGAATTGCTATCCTAATTCATTTGTATGGAAAATATTTTTTGTCTAGACATATAGCAATTTTGGCATTTAAAAAAAAAATCACCGATTGTATTTACACATTATTGAAACATCTTTGTAGACAACGTTGATAGTAGCAGCACAATCTTGTCCATCTTCGTCTAGAGCTAACACCTTCAGCCCATCAGGATGGGTGACTCGGATGAAAATATATAATGGTAGAATATCAGTCAATTAGTGATCCTTTTATATTTTCAATCAATTAGTAATATCATATTCATTTCCAGCCAATTATTCTTTTTTATTTTCAATCAATTAGTAAATTACAATATTAGATGTAGTGATATTTTTACCTAATTTTCGTTCCATTTTTAATTGATGATGTAGAATATTTTCATAGAAATATTTTTGTTCTATTTTTAATTTACGTTTCATTTTTTAATTAAAATGCAATAATGTTACATTTTTTTTTTATTTTAGTCAATTATGGATCATTTTTTATTTGCAGTCAATTATTAATATTCATTTTCTTTTACATTTTGAGTCATCAATTAGTAATATCTGATTTCTTTTCAGCCAATTATTCTTTTTTATTTTCAGTCAATTAGTCAATTAGGCAATTAGAATATTAGATGCAGTGATATTTTTACCTAATTTCTGAACCATTTTTAATTGATGATGTAGAATATTTTTATTGAAATATTTATGTTCCATTTAATTTTCGTTTCATTTTTAGTTTACCTTAATTATTGTTTAAAACATGTCTTACTATTGATGGTGTAGAATATGATTATTGAAATATTTCCTTTCCATTTTAATTTATCTTTACTTGATAATGTAGAATATTATTATTGAAATATTTCCGTTCCATTTTTAATTTTCATTCCATTTTTAATTTATGTTCCATTGTTTAAAATTGTGAAAGATTTATGATATAATTGTGATTTGATTTATTCTACTGTGTAATATTATTGTGAAAAAATTAAAATGCAATTATCTGACCATTTTTTTTTCTATTTTTGTCAATTATGGATCATTTTTTTATTTTCAGTCAATTATTAATATTATTTCCTTTTCCAATTAACCTAATTTCCGTTTCTTTTTTCATTTTTAATTTTCAATCAATTATTAATATTAATTTCTTTTCCAATTTACCTAAGTTTTGTTCCATTTTTAATTAATGATGATGTAGAGTATTATTGTGAAATATTTCTGTTTTTTTTTTTTTTTTAATTTACGTTCACTATGTACTATTGTTTGAGCGGGAAATCATGTAAATAGAATTTTGTTTTTAATTATGGTATAGAGTATAGATTACATATTTCATTTAAGATGATGTCTTAGACAAAACCAACTATTCTAGTTTTAATTCAGGGACAACATACCCAAGTCGAGTTGGTCGGATAGTTAGTTTGGTAGTCACAAGGTTTCAAATTTGACTCTTGGGGGATATCTATTGGCCTTTTTTATTTGAGTCAATCAGATATAGGCAATCTAGGCTTGTTAATCTTAATGTGGTCCTTTGCCGACTAAGGTTACAAAAGGGTTTCACTCGAAGACAACCCCATTCAAATTGATCGGACAGTTGACTTTATAATCACAAGGTTTCAAGTTTGACTCCTCTTGGGAGTTGCTTATTAACCCTCTTAGTTTGAGCCGATCAGCTATAATTAATTTAGACTGATTTACTTACTTTATTATGATTCTTTGTAGACTAAGGTTACAAGGTAAGTTTTACGTTCCTTATACATCCAACGGGGTTTTCCCCTAAATCAAAATAGTATTAATCCATACGATGCAACATTACCTATAATGTCTTGAACATCTTAACCCAAATTGCATTATGCAAATGGGGGAGTTGTCGCTATCCCAAATCCTACAAATAACCGACCGCTTATATTTCGCATCAAGTATTAATTACGCGGTATTATGTTATCTAAATATTAAGGAATAAGGGTCAAATAGGCCACTCAACTGCGCACCACATTGCAATTAGGTTATCGAACTAAAAAAGAATGCAATTGAGTCCCTGAACGATGCAAAATCATGCAATTCAATCCAAATTGACTTGTTTAATTCTTCCAAAAGGCTGAAGCCCAACCCTGAGGACCCCCCACACCCGATCCGACAGAGCATTTGGGAGGATGTAAATCATGGTAACTCAACTGAACATGAACCACAGAGGGACTTGTTTAATTCTTCCAAAAGGCTGAAGCCCAACCCTGAGGACCCCCCACACCCGATCCGACAGAGCATTTGGGAGGATGTAAATCATGGTAACTCAACTGAACATGAACCACAGAGGTTAGACATTTGCTCACTGTGCACAAAAAACCCCCTCACACTGAGAGATTGCTCCCACACTGCTGCTGGTGAGACTCGATCCTGGTCATTTTTCACTTAAGAGTTTAATTCCATATGTTTTTGGTCGTACATCAAAGTTAGGTTATAATGCACCATCCACTTAACCACTTTCTATTCACCTTTTTCAGGTCTATAAATTGAGCTCCTTACACTCTTGCCCTTTGCAGCAACAAATAACAATAAACAAACCACTACACGCACTAGCTAATAGCTATGAAGCTTCCCAAACTCACTTCTTTCTTTCTCATCTTCTTCTTCGTTTCTTCTTTTTTAGCTCAAGCAAGAAGATTGCAAGGTAATATAATTCTTTTATGTTAACGAGGAAGAGAAACTTCAATACTTACTACTTCAGTACTGTCATAGTATAAAAGAAGGGAATATTATGAAATTTAGAAAGAAAACAAATTAAATTATTCGTTTTCTTCGTTTCTTTCAATAACTTCACTAAAATACTTCCAGTTTGTCACGACTTTGTTATCAAGTTTCAAAACTTCACTAAAATACTTCGAGTTTGTCAAGACTTTGTTGTCAAGTTTCATATATGTAGTTGTACTCAAAAAAAAAAAAAAATACATTCAAGTTTTTCCATTTAGAAAGAAAATATTATAGGAATAGGAGATATCAAAGAATTTTTTATATTTATGTGCGTACACACATCCGGAATATTTATAATGTTATGTGTGAAGTATGGTTTTTAAATTTCAAGGGTAATCTTTGGTTTACGGGAAAGTTCGTAGCAGCTACCCGAATTTGTCCATTTAATGAAATACGTCCTTTAACTTTAGTTTGCAAAAAATTACAATGAATTAAATCAGCTTACGTTGTTCATAGCTGACTCAGTTAAACCAAGAAAGTCAATAGGTTAAAATTTTGTACTTATGAAACCAATTATTTAGTCAACTTGGTTTGAGTTGCATCCAATTTAAGACGTAATAATCTTAATACTACCAAATGACTAGTACGTTTAACATAGACAAAATATAATGTGATCCGGTGTTGTTACGTTGAAAGCCACATATATCATGTTCCACTGCACCTTGGTATTTAATTATTTGATGTTATTCTATGGTTTATTTCCAATTTTGGCAGTAGAGCTTTAAGGTTTCCTCCTAACATGTTTTTGCATGTTTTCTGGTATTACAGAGAATTATGAGGATGAGCTGAAGAAGACAAAATCCAGCTATCAGCCATTATCTTATAACGAAAAGCTTCCAGCTGCTACCGGTGAATTCCTCTTGACGCTGCGTTTGGAGCTTCCAACATCGCAGGATTCACAAAGCTTCTTTGAGCGTTTCAATGGCGTAAACGCCTACATGCTGACGTTGAGTTCTTTAAGGTCCAAAGACTTCGGAAGAGAACCAAAGTCGCCGCCGCCTTCTCCGAAGCCGTCTGGTCCTAATCACCCAACTATTATCCCCTCCGATCTAAGCACGGCCGGAGAGTTTGGACGGGGGCAAAAGTCGCCGCCTCCGGCTCCGGAAATAGATCCCCCCCACCACCCAACTATTATCCCCTACGGTCTAAGCTCGGGCGGAGAGTTTGGACGGGAGGAAAAGTCGCCGCCTCCGGCTCCGGAAACAGATATCCCCGAACACCCAACAATTACCACCTCGAATTATGGACGGCTGCCGAAGTCACCGCCTCCGGCTCCGGAAACAGAACCCCCCCACCACCCAACAATTACCACCTCGAGTAGTTATGGACGGCAGGCGAGATCGCCGCCTCCGGCTCCAAAGCCAGGACCGCCAATCCACCCTGGAAACAGCGGCGGCGGCGCACAAGTGATTTCAATGGCGGACGACTCAAGTGATTTCCTGTCATCAGCCTGAGCTCATGTATTATGATCTCAATGATAATATGCTTTTGTGTTGAGTATTAGATTAGCAGTTTAGAATAAGATAATTGTTGTAGTTTGTTTACAAATTATAGTTTCAGTATTATTTAATATTATGTTTGAGCATGTAAACCTTAAATAAAAGGTGTTACATCTTCTTATTAAATGTGTAATATTATATTATTTCATCAATTATATGTTTTTATTATAAATGCTTCTTTTCCTATATGTTTTTACCTCTTAGAATCCCTCATTATATTACTCAATTAAAGGACCACACTCCACTACATTTTAGAAAAAAAAAAAAAAAAAAGTTGAATAGTCAAAAGTCGAGCAGTATAGAAATGCATTGAAAAGTGGAAAATTGGCTAGCATTACTCTATTGTTAAATGTTTAATATTATATCATTTCATCGTATTTTGCCCGTGCGATGCACAGAAAAGATTTGTTAAAATATTTTAAAATATTTGAATTGATATATAATTATATATATTATTACATCGAATATTATATAATACAATTGAAGAATTGAGTTGGATCGATTGTATTTTCTGATATTATCATTGTTTGAATTCGATCAAATAATTGCCCAATTCTTAGATTCATTCGGACAGATTTTTCTTCGATCAGAATACGAATGAGATAAAAAAGGCAATTAATAGTCAATGTGTAGATTTACACATCCATAGTCAATGTGTATATGTACGCATCCGGTACTAAAAATTTAGAAATTTTAAATATCAGTGTTCAGTAAATTATATCCGGGGATCATATTTAATTTTGAGTAAATTATTAATATTTATTACCATTTCCAATTGGTCTAATTTGTTTTCCATCTTTAAGCAAAATCTTTCTTACACATTCTATACATAATTACACATCTTTATATATACACATTGTAATGAGGTCCCAAAATTTTGGATAAAGATGTGCTACAAAATCAGTCATAATTAATTTCTTTTGAATCATTCATACGTATTGCAAGAACATTTCAATCTTTAATTACACAATTTTCCTTATAAATTGTGGATGCTAAACGATTCTATTCAATTTTCCATTTGTAAATATATATTTTTACATAACTATATTTCCAGTAACATATATATACGGATTTTTTAAAATATTTCTAGTAATTTTACATTTTATAAAATATATAACCGAGATTAATATTTTTTCCATCCCGGCTAAACCTTATATTTTTTTACATACTTGGCTAAACTTTATAATTACACAATCCTTATATTCTTAGTATAAAATAACATTTGGTGTAAAAATTATTAATTTCCATCTCGATTAATATTCATTCCATTTTGGCTAAATCTTATATTTCCATCTCGTATTGCAAAACCTTTTCCATCTTTAATTACAAAATTTTTCTTATAAATTGTGGATACTAAACGATATGATTCTATTCCATTTTACATTTCTAAATATATATCTTTACATAATCATATTTCAGCAACATATATATACAATTTTTTTTTTTTATATTTCCAGTAACTTTATATTTTATAAAATATATAATCGAGATTAATATTCTTTCTATATACTGAGTCAGATTGGAAGCATTTTTCATTTTCAGTCAATTATTAATAGTCATTTTCTATTTTAATTGGCCTAAATTTCGTGTCATTTTTATTATCAGTCAAATTATTCTTTTTAAATACATATTAATTAATTATAGTTAATTATTAACAACAGTTTTTTATATATATATATTTTCACTAACTTTACATTTTATAAAATATATAACCGAGATTAGTATTTCTTTCCATCTCGACAAAACGTTGAGATCCAAACTTCATTTTACATTTTTATTAATACATTTTATACCAGTAATTTTTATATTTTTAGTAACTTATTAATATTTAAGTATAAATATTCATTTCATTTTCCTATTGGCCTAATTTCTATGAAAATTTTTATCTTTCAAGTAATTTATTAATATTCAAGTATTAATATTAATTTCATTTTTATTTTTTAATCAAGTATTAATATTCATTTTATTTTTTTGCATTTGAGTCAGTTTCGAAGCATTTTTAATTTTCAGTCAATTATTAATAGTCATTTCCTATTTCAATTGGCCTAAATTTCGTGCCGATTTTTTTCTCAGGTAATAGTTATTTTTGTAATATTCTTTTAAATACTATTATTTCATGGTGGATAATCGAATAAAACAAATGAATATTCAAAGTAATGTAAAACCATTAAATCTTTCATTTTAAACAAAAGATATAAAATTTAAAATTTTAAATATAAAATCAATACTCTAAAAACAAATAATCCATACTCTAAAAACAAAAAATATTAGAACATTGGTTTTTATAAGAATTTAATTACAAAAAATCAAGTTTAAGTCAATAAAAGCAAAAAACACTAAATGGTACTTTCAAACGTGTACATACAGAGATATTTTAATTTACTGACATTCAATTCTTTCTTAGAATAGAAGAAGTATCTTCATCAACTAAATAGGAACCCCTTTCCACCACCTTCTTCTGAATCTTTCCATCGACCTTTTTTTTTTTTTTTTTTTTTTCTCTATAACTTTATTTAAAGCTGAATCCTTTATCTTTTTTTTTTTTTTTTTTTTTTTTTTTTTTTTTTTTTTTTTTTGTGCGCAGGCCTTCTCGACCGCAGTTTCCGCTTCTCTCTTAACTACAAAGTCACCAGAAAATAGTGAACTCAGGTAGTATCCCCTATTGACTCTGTAACCATTGCATCGCACAAATAACAAAAACCTTGCCTAGAAATAAAATATTTAAACAATATTACAAAATTATTGTTTTAAACAAAGCAATAATATGAAAAAAATACATATAATACAAAATTTTAAAAATAAAACAATAATTAAAGACTGTGGAAGATCAATTACAGACAAAAATAATACGAAAAAATACATTTTTAAAAAAATTAAACCTTTTTTGCATCGGCTTAGTCGGAGCAACTATAGATTAAATGTGTAATATTATATTATTTCATCAATTATATGTTTTTATTATAAATGCTTCTTTTCCTATATGTTTTTACCTCTTAGAATCCCTCATTATATTATATTAATCAATTAAAGGACCACACTCCACTAAATTTTATAAAAAAAAAAAAAAAAAAGTTAAATAGTCAAAAGTCGAGCAGTATAGAATGCATTGAAAAGTGGAAAATTGGCTAGCATTACTCTATTGTTAAATGTTTAATATTATATTATTTCATCAATTACATGTTTTCTTATAGTAACAATTAGTGCTAGATAGCACATAATAATCATATGATCCAGATGCTTTTATCAGTTTATGTTGTGTACTCATTTATTAATTAATTAACTCTAACAATTTGATGGTTTCACTGGGATCGGGTCCACCATAAACCGGGTATAGAGACACAAGACGGGGGTAGAAACCACTGGGTTTATTACCCGGGGCGGTAAGCCCAAAATAACATGTACAAAGCCCGAGGTACATGCCCAGAATGGCGGCCCTAAATACAAAGAACAAGGCCAACGAGGTGGGCTATAGCTAACTATGTTATCGATAGGAATCGAACCCAGGTGGCTAGGTTGAGAGTATGAGATCAAGACCACTAGACAGTAGTGCTTGTCGTGTCCAAGTTGCCCTTAGCCAAAGATCCAGGGCCCCTATTTATAGCAGGCCCCCCTCGCCCTCTGGCTGTCCACATGTCCCACTCCCTCGTTTGTCGCACAGCAGTCCGCACGTTCGCCACGAACCGATGCCCCCACCTTCTTTCCCGCACACCCCACGAACCCTGGGCGAAACCGCCACCGATGCCAGTGTCCGTACGTCCCCGCCGCGTGACGGGGGGCGCTAGGCCTACACCGAGCCACACACCAGGCACGCTCGGTGCGCCGCCATTGGCTGGCGCCAACGCCCCCGTCGGCAGCCCTCCCCGGCCAGCCGGCGCCCCCGTGACCTCGCATGGGGAGCGCTAGGCCGCGCCCAGCCACGCCCTCGCTGGCTGGGCCAGCAACCCTGCCGGCGGCCTCCCCTGGCCACCGGCGCCGGCTGCCCTCGACGTCCTCCCAATCACCCCCTGGATTTGTCCGGCCCAACATCGTCAACCCAATAAGTCCTCAGCCCCTATCCAATATCCCCATCACAAGTCCCCCACTTCTTTTAGGTATCTTGATGCCTAAGGGAAGTAAAATTCGGTACCGCCACCTCCTCTCTTTCCTAAACTCAAATTCTAGTTCCAAATTTTCCAGATATTTGTCGCTTCCCCAGGCATGTGGGTTGCGATAACCCACATGCCCCCCAGCATGCAGACTGCCAAGTCTGGCAAGGCTGCGCATGTAGGTTGTCCCCCTCTACCAAACGCCATGTGGACTGCCGAGTCCGGCAAGTCCGCGCATGTGGGTTTCGATAACCCACATGCCCCATCCACCAAAAGTCATGCAGATTGCCGAGTCTGGCAAGTCCGCGCACGTGGGTTGCGATGACCCACATGGTCTGCGCATGTGGGTTGCGATAACCCACATGCCCCACCCACCAAAAGCCATGCGGACTGCCAAGTTTGGAAAGTCTGCGCATGTGGGTTGCGATAACCCACATGCCCCATGTAAATCGAGAATTTTATCTGAGTGAGACCGGGAGAACTCAAAAAGGATTTTAAACAAGTGTTCAATCAAATAGCTTTTGAGAAAATTCACTTTCAACCCCAAAGTAATTAAAGATGGCATTTCTAGCCTATGATTCATATTGCATGGTGGACCACAAGACATCCAAAACTCCTTCCTGATTCATCTTTTAACTTGAAGAATTACCCCTTTGCCCTCAACCAATCATTGTGAATCATCCTAGGATTTTGAACCCTTATAAATAGAATAGTGTTGGCCTCATTTTCTCCTGATCTCTTCCTTGGCTGCCAACACCATAGTAGTAAGCTTCTTTCTCCATTCATTTCCTCCTTCTCTAAGTTTCTTTGCATATCATCTCTTCTTAAGGTTTAAGACTTAGGCCTTGTGTGGTTGTTTGAGATGTTTAGGTGGTGAAAGAAGTAGAGATCCTTGAGTGAAGTGGGGCTAAAATCAAAGCAAGAAGAATATACTACAAGAGGTATAACCCCATGGGTTCCTCTTTAAATTTGGCTCTGTGAAGCCTTAGTTATGAGTAGAAATGAGTAGAAACTATGATTTTTTGATGTGTTCATGCTTAGAAGTGATTTAGTATTGTTTGTGAGTT